TGTTTTCCATTATTTCATAATAAAAATGTTTAATTAATGTGTTTTTTTCTGTGGTCGATTATGGAACCACAACTACATTTACCAAAGTCAACATACCTAATCAGGCTGTGGTCGAAATTTCAACCACCTAAAAAAACAACAAGGAGTGAAAATAAAATGAAAATACGAATGAAAGTTTAATAACGGATATAATCTGCAAAGAATTTGTTTATATTACCAAAAAATAATTCTGCCCTATTCGCTCCGTGCGTGACCATGGTAGGGGTACATTGAAACGATGCCAGCGTGCGTAGCGGCGAAATATGACAAAATTGGAATATTGGACAAAATATTTTTACGCATAAATTTTATCAAAAATGTGTGCACATACATGTTGCGTATTTAATTGTGTTAATAATAGCAAAAACAGTGAGTGTAGTTTTTATAGGTTCCCAAAGATAACATATAAATTGGAGAAAAGAAAAAGATGAATTCGTGCTATTAATATGAAAAAGTAAATATCACATAATTTCATTTTTATGCAATTGAAATAGGAAAAATTTAAATAATTTACCTTGAATGATATTTCATAAGGCTTCAAGCTAACTGCAGATGACTTTAGCTTTTATATCATAACTTTTACTATTATTGTTTTTAATTATATGCTCTTTTGCGTGAAAAACTTGATTTGCCAGTACTCGATTTTTCTCTTTCTTTTCCATTTGGAGTTGAAAAAATATATTATGATGAATTTTGAGAAACCCAGTTTTTAATACTACATTTATTTTGTACATAAACTGAAAAAATATAGTTAAAAAACTAATTTATTAATAATTGTCAATTTCGCATGTATTAACAATGTCAAACATATGTCATATGTTTAACCTGAAAATTGGGACTCCAAAATTGTCAGATGAAGGCGGTAGGTGTCGCGTCAGTCAAGCACGGAGCGAATAAAGGGTTTTGTTGTTGTTTGTTTGTGTTTAAATGACTGCGGACACTAAATCCATTCGCCAATCTTACAATTTGAGGTGTAGTGTGTGTGTGTGTGTGTGTAGAGTAATTGTCTTGATACTTAGCAAAGTCGACGTCATTATCTTTGCTAAGAGACGCTAATTGTATCCGAACGTCTGCGGTCCCTCTGGTGTGTACCGATCACACAAGGATAGAAATTATTTTCATTTATTAATTTTTTTTAATAAACGAAAATTTCCACCCAGGTGGGATTCGAACTCACGACCTTTAGGTTTAAAGGCAGGCGCTCTTACACTCCCCAATTTTTTACAAAATTAAAAAAGAAAATCTAAATCTGATAGTACTTCTAACTCACAATTATTAATCTTAAATTATCTAAATTGTAATTACATACATTTTGCTGAAAAGATTTCGTGTAGTAAATATCTCCGCTATCACGTAATATTCCTATTGACTTTGTTATTCATGTTACAAAAGTGGCAATATGCATGCTTGCGGCAATAAACATAAAATCGTCTATTAGTTTCAAATATAAGCCGATCGTGATACCGAAAGATAATTGTTTAGCGATTTCACTGTTCTCATTTTCATCGAAAACGCTACGTAGACAAAAGAGGAAATTATGAAAATTCGATACTGAGGGTGGCAGTTATTGTTTCGCGAGGGTTATTTACGAGGGCTGGGCCATTTCGGAAACCGATACTGGTCCCTGAACAGGGATTTGACACGTGAGAACAGCAATAGTCTCTGCAGGATTGTTAAGGAAATATATTCGGATTTTTTTTGTTCAACCCTAGTTAAGATTGTGATATCTTTGTGCTGGTTTAGCTATTATTATTCGATAAAAAACTTTTTCGATATGAGATTTCAAGACTATATAGTCAGTATACCGAACGGATTTAGAATAATATAATCTGCTAAAAGATGTTAATAAAATGTCTGAAAAAAATGGGTTTAATTTTAAATATGCTAACAACTTAATTAATAAAATATAATATATCTAGAGTTAACAAACTGACAATTTTGTACGATCCCAAAAAATCGTAGTGTCAATTTTTTTGGGAAGCCACCCTTAATTGCTCTCAATTCCTTACTTAGAGAAACCCTGTCCCGTCGACTTCTTCTTTTCATCCATTCTTCCAAAATATAGTTACCTATTTCCTATCTATTTCTGGTAAAATTCAGTAGCGATGATCAGTTCCAGCTTAGAGAAGAGAGGAACTGACCTTGGACTACTACGAGCCTGATGGAAGCAGTTTGAAGGATTGTAGTATTGTAGTATTATAGTATAATAAACATAGATAGTGATTACTATTTAGTTAAAGCACGATTTAAAGAAAGAATATCCAATTTTAAACGAGAGATCAGAAATAGGAGAGAAAAAATTGACATTAATAAACTAAAAAATGCTGACATCGAAAATGTATACAGACCAGCAAATAGAAGATCAAATAAGGACAGAAAATTTAGAAGAAGAAGGAGGCATTTATTAACTATGGGCAAATATACGAGATATTTTGTTACAGAAATCGGTTGAAATATTAGGCAAAACCAAGTCAGAAAAAAGAAAGTCATTGGAGGTTGTACATGGAGAAAAAAGAAGTATAGTCGCCTTAGAAGAGGGGAAAAATGTATCCATCGACGTAAGAAGAGGAAATCGAGTGGTTTTCATGTGAAACTAAAGTACTGGTTTTGTAATTAAATGTTTTAAGTTACTTAAAAAAAAAAAGGGGGATTCATGGAAAGTATTCGAAATGAAATGAAAATATTCGAAGTTTTTCATTTTATTCGGATTTACTCTGTGTGAGTACTAGAAGCGCAATTCGCTAAGGATTTCTGCTTAGTTGTAAAAGAAATGTCGTGGAATGCAAATTTTAGATTCCCCATGTCCCTTTAAATATCTTTTATCAACGTCTGTTTGCCTTGCAATTTTTAGAAGGCTCAGATTATAAGCAGAAATTTGAATTGTGTTTCAAAACTATTTTACGGATTATTCGAAATGAATTTAAAAAGCAAACATTGCTGATGACCACAGATACTGTTCCAGAACAGATTGAAAAACTTTTCGACTAAATTAAATCCACTGGTGATATTGTTGGCCCTAAAATATAATATCTGCATCTAGAATCTCGAACAATCAAGTCTGCGTATACCTAAGCGAAGTTATACTTGTTGACCAACTTATTACCAACAATCCTACTATTAAAGTAAACGCTCTAAACCTACCTATTAGAAGATTAGTTACTCCAGCCAAACGTGTCATATTTTTGAATGTCTGCCGCTCAACTCCTCACGATCTCATAGAAAATGCTTTAAACGTCTTTAATTTAAAACTCAATTCTCCCGTATCCTTCTTAAAAGCTGGAATTAAAGAAGATGAATATTCACATCCTCTTATTTCGAAGACAAGTATACATAATTCCACCTATTAAAAATTATGAGCTTCAAACTAATCATTGAATTTGATTCCAAACCATACCGTATATTTTTATCTACTGATAGAATGGAATGCTTTATTTGTAAGCAAACTGGCCATAGAGCTGTAAGTTGTACAAATTGTCAAAACACTAATATTCCTCAAGCTGCCAGTGAACAATCATCGGTAACAAAAACCTCATCAGCTACTACTTTAAAACCTATACCTACTAGGACAAAAAAGAGCACTTTCTAGCCCACTTAGAACACCAAACTCCCACTCTATTGACACAGATAAATTTAAAATATCAGATGCCTTAAAGCAAATAATCAAAGATCTTTATACCAATAATCCCCAAAGCTTTTCTACTTTACCAGATCATCTCATAGCCTTTCTTGAGAACGCCCCGTCAAGTAGTAACCTGATAGGAGAAGCCCAGAAAATTACTTCTGACATTAATTTACTTTTATCTGATATGTAAACAAAGTATCCACATCTAACCACTAGTTTACTAAAAAATAAGTCCACAAGAATATCAAAGAAACTCAAAAGGAATTACCTTCAGAATAAGAGTACACAGCCTGGTATCACAAGCATCTCTTGATACTTCCGACGATGATAACCAAACCGAACATTTACAGTATTCTAAAAAATTCAATTACTAACAATTTTCACACTTATTGAATTAAATAGTGACAACAAGTTCCAGCAAGTGCCAGTTTCAGCCTCCAATGGATAAAGCTTTTCGTTGATGGTGTCCAGATAGCTTCTACCCCAGAAATATTAGCAAGGTTTTCAAAAGTTAAAGTGTAAAATACGTGAATTAAGGTAACATTTAAAGTATAATTTTCCAAGTAGCGAAGCAGCGCCCGTATGTGAAAATTTCTAAAAGCCCCTTTTTGTTGTCTTTATTGCCCAGTTGTCCAGCAGATTTATGTAAATACCCCTTTGTTTCATTTTGTAGTTATCCCAATCTGACCCTTTTGATTCAACTTATCCACGACCCAGCCCTCCAATGAACCCCTGAGTGCCGTACGCACAAGTATCGTTTATTTAGTTTGCCCTATATCAACCCCCTTAGTTTCTGTCCTCAATTTTCTACCCCCATAATCTTACCCTAAGGTAGGCAAACTATTATCGTTACAAAATTTCTATCTACGATTTAAAAACAAAAATATACTCAAAGAAACAAATCATCCCATACAATATCCTTTCCAATCTCACAAATTTGACTCTACTGTCTTACAAACTCCATTTACACTACAGGAACTCCAACTACAGGAACTTTAAATATTCTTCCAACTTGCAAAAATTTAGCTGCAGGTCCCGATAACATTTCTTTCATATTCCTCAAAACTTTTCTATATATCTGCCATAAAAAATTGCTTATACTGTACAACATAATATGGATCAGTTCAGAAATTTACAATATTATGGATGGAATCTATCGTTATGCCAATCAAAAAATAGGACAGATCACCGAATAATTTCACTGACAGGCACCTTGCGTAAGCTGCTAGAAAAACTAATAAACAAAAGAGATAATAAGGAAGATATGGGGGAGAATCAGGAAGAAATTATCAAATAAATTTTTTTATAGGTTTCAGGAGATAATAAAAAAAAACAAACAAAAATTTATTTGTTTTATATTTAACATATTGGTGCAATATTAATACCAAAATTATTTTAAATATTTCTTCTATATGTCATTAATTGATCTGTCATTATTAGTTGGGAAGATTGGTGACACGTCCAGCAAAAATAATAACACCCTCTCTTTGAATATAGTAAATAAATGGATGGTCCACATTTAATGATGGTTGAAAAGAACGCGTTGGTGTTTCACTTTGATCACCACTTACTAATTCAACACCACGTTCATTTATGTCGATGTACGACTCTTGTAATACTTTTGTAAAATAATATCTTCTATATTTATTATAGGCTAGGTTTGTAAAATCAGCGTCTTTCCTACTGAACATTTTTTTTATTCCCAAGCTTTTAAATATCTCGCCTATATCGACTATTGATCCAACACTAAATTTTGGAAATCTTAGTCGCATTGTTTCGTTAGTATAAGGTTTTGGTTGAAAGACCTTTTGCGAATTAACTGATAGTTGTTTTAACCCATCTTTTTTATAAGGAACAACAAGAACAAGGCTGAGATATCTACTTACGTGTTCAGTGGAAAAATGTATATCCGTAAAAGGAATTTCTACAAATTTTGCCTTTATCTCTTTATCATCGTAGTATTTGAACACCCCAGTTCTAGCTAAAAATGGTATCGTTTTCGCTACTTTACTTCCTTCATCAAAAAACTTGTCCGTTCGAGAATGAAATGATTTTTCCCATGTCACATTTAAGTAAATTACACTCAAAAACATTAGATTCGTATGAGGGTTCATATAATCTGCGATGACCGCAGGTCTTAAACTATCCTTCTTTTGAGACAATAGTTGCCAATTCACCCACTCATTAATACTGCTGGCTGCTTGTTGAGGTTCTAGGAAATTAACTTTTTGTACAGTCGTTCTGTAAACTTCTCGTGCTATCTTAGCAAAATCTCTGTTTAACCTTATATCACGACGGGTGAAAATTCTGTTGGCACTATTATATACTGTTTTGTTTTCGACATTATGTAGTCTGCTTAAGTAGCTCCCAAAAACTGTAGTTGAAGGGGGGAGATAGGCTTCTAGTTCGGCTCGCGTGCTACCTGCAACAGAGAGTTTATGTTTATCTTTAATATATTCTCTATATGGGACAACTAGTTAAATTAAATAAAGATAATCAGACCGGTAAAATAAAGAGAAGGATACGGTTGGCTTGGGTGTCTTTCGGAAAACTTTCCCATATACTAAAAAATAGAAAATATCCCCAACATTTAAAAACAAGAGCCTACAAATAATGTATACTTTCAGTTCTCACCTACGGTTCTTAAACTTGGACGTTTACAAAAGAAAACATGAAAAAATAGCAAAGACACAAAGAACAAAGAGCCATGGAAAGGCAAATGCTGAACAACAGGCTATCAGACAAGAGAAGAAATACTTGGATCCGCTACAAAACAAAATACATCGGTCACATGTATAAACGCAGATAGCAAAACTTAAGTGGAAGTTCCCTGGACATACCATAACACAGAAAGACGACAGATGGAATAAGATGATTATATGTAACAATAAAAGACTGAAAACTTTGTTTTTAAACTTCCACAAAATTTATTTTAAACTCTTATCATTACAGCTGTTTCGGCTGATTGCCTTTCTCAAGTGATCTATTTTTGGCCTGCATTAAAATAATTATTGTGATCTAGAAGGTGAATTGAGTATGTAGTATCTGTTTTTCTATTATTGAAAGCCCTTTTATGTTCTGCTATTCGTTTATTAAAGTTTCTACCAGTTTGACCGATGTAAGTTTTTGGGCAGTCACATTTAAATTTGTACACATCACTGTGCAAGTGTTTTTTATTTTGGATTTTGTTGTTAATAATTTGCCTAGGTTGTTATTTGTTCGGCAAGCTGGAGTTATTCCTTTCTTTTTTATGTGTTTGGCTATTTTTGTTGATATTTTGCCTGTTTATGCAATCGAGCAGAAGGTACTGGGTTTTTTCTTTATAGACGAAAATAATAATTTCAAGGCTTTCTTGTGTAGTTTTTGATTTACCATTTTATTAAAATAGTTTGTTCTATAGTTTGTTCGTTGTATCCGTTGTTTACTGCTATTTGCTTAATGATATTTAATTATGTTTTAAAGTTGTATTTTGACATCGGAATTTCTGTTAATCTATGTAAAATATTATGATAGGCTGCCAGTTTATGTTGTGTTGGATGGGATGATGAATTGTGTATAGTCGTGTCAGTATGGGTAGGTTTATAAAAAATGGAGAAGTCATGTTTGTTTTTAAGTCTGATAATTCTTGAATCTAAAAAAATCTATAAAAATAATTTTTAAATCTGAAATTTTACATCTTCTTGAAAATTGCATAAACCAGGACTACTTTGAATTTAATAATCAAATATATACAAATAATAGTGCAGGACTTCTAATGGGCAATCCTATTGGGACCGTGCAAGTTCGGAACAGCGACACCTGGTGTCGTAAATCAGCAAAATTTACTGCGCTTTCATGTTAGATCGAGGTTACCGGACAACTGTCAAGGACGTAGCCCCAAAAAAGAATAAGAAGAAAAAGTAAGATTGAGGTTATGTCGGTATGTTATTAAAAGGTAAACGTTGTATGTAGTGTAAATACAAATAAATATATTATTAAATTACAGCATTACTGTTAATATGGATGCAAAAATAAAAACTGAATTTGAGAAAGTAAATCACCAAATAACTTTTCAACCAAGCACTGAGTCAAATGGAAAAGCTTTAGTAGTGGCAAATGTCAGAAAAATAATGTAAGAATTATGTGGAAGAATTAAGAAAAATAAATTACTATAAATAATGCTAATGCATAAATTAGCAGGTTAAGCCCATGATATCATCATATTGGTTTAAACAATTAATTCTTTCCCTGTAAACTTTTAGACAGCGAATATATCTTAATGCATCTTCAGAAAAACTTGAACTTGATGCATTTTTGTAAACTTCAAATAAATAAAATTTAAACATTAAACTTGATTTTTGGGTTAAAATGAACTCTAAGTGAGTGTTATGAAACGAAAATTTATACTTAAAAGTGAACTTTTATTTATTTCAAACTGACTTTAAAATCGGGCGCAAGAATAATGCATAATTTAGGTTATGTTACTTAAGATTTTTTTTTATATAAATCCACTTTTCTCTTTGTAGTAATTTGTGCTTCAAAGTTGGAAACGAATAAAACTTAAATTAACAATTTTTTGTTGTATTTCTACAGTTTATAACACAGCATTTCCTAAATCCCATTTTCTTCAGTGACAGAAGGTGTAAATAAACAAATAAAATATGAAATATGACAATTGACAATTTGAATTTATGAAATCTATGAAATGTGCAGTAAAAAATGCAAGATTTCTCCGCTAGTCGCGCACGATCGTTTCTCGTATCACATCCAAGTACTTGCACGTCGCCAATAAGCCCATTGCTATCAGATATTTTTGTGGATCATCTAGAAACAAAGATTTCAAAACATTCATAAATTGCAAAAGTTTTTATATTGGTGGAGATACGTAGACGACGTACTGGTATGTTTCACTAACAGGCAACTTGATCAATTTTTATTGCACATTAATTCACTTCATAGTCATATTGAATTTACAATAGAAACAGAAAAAAATCAATCCATAAATTTTTTAGATTTAAAAATTATTAGACTTGAAAACAAACATGACTTCTTCATATTACATAAACCTACCCATACTGACACGACTATACACACTTCATCATCCGATCAAACACAACATAAACTGGCAGCCTATCATAGTATGTTACATAGATTAACAGAAATTCCGATGTCAAAATACAACTTTGAGACAGAATTAAATATCATCAAGCAAATAGCAGTAAACAACGGATACAACAAACAAACAATGAATAAAATGTTAAATCAAAAAGTACACAAGAAAGCCCTGAAATTAGTGTTTTCACCACCAGCGACTGTCCAAAAACTTACATCGGTCAAACTGGTAGAATCTTTAACAAACGAATAACAGAACATAAAAGGGCTTTCAATAATAGAAAAACAGATTCTACATACGCACTTTAGCTTCTAGATCACAATCGTTCTTTTAATGATGAATTTAAAATTTTTCACATTCAAAATAAAGGCCTTAAGCTATCCTTGTTAGAGTCGATGGAAATCAACAAACTAAAAACACAGATATCATTCGTTCTCCCCTCCTCAACCTATTTGATTAGAGACTATAAAGTGTAAACGTATGCCAAAAATAGATCACTTAAGAAAGGCAATCAGCCGAAAAAGCTTTAGTGATAAGAGTTACTTTTTTAGAAGTTCTAAAACAAAGTTTTCAGTGTTTTATTGTTACATAAAACGAATTTCCATTAAGTAACGGTCGAATCCATCAATTATTTAAGATGAATATACACTAAACACCATATAGTTACAAACGAAAAAGAGGAAGGCCACAAATGAGATGGTCAAATGACTTGAAGAAACACTTAGGCCCGAAGTTGATACAAACTGCCTACAATAAAGAGACGGAAGAAAAGGCATATGTCCAAAATTAGACAGCAAGGGGAGCAAGGGCTGTATATATAGAGATATTTGCTACTAGTATAATTAATTATGTTGTAATAAACAAGTACATATTTTGATAAGATAGTACCGTCAAGGAATACGGCCCGATAATTTTCATTCAAAATTCTTTAAACTTTAGCATTTTTTGATACAAAAATAAATTGCAAAATTGCCTAATAAAACCATAACATCAAATAAGCTGAAGTTGCTGCAAATGATACGCAAACATAGATAACAATTAGTTATTCGTAACCTCTCTTACCAAATAATATCGTCCGCTGATTACTATAACTAGGTAACTTGAAAATGGTCGTTTCTCAGGATATCAATTTAAAATATTGAGCAGAAAAAAAATCACAAAATGATGGCAGAACTTGTGCTTTTCGTGAGATTAGTTTGACACCTCTCATTTCGCCACAAACACCACACTTTATCATCTCATGATTCATAGCTGATATAGAACATTGAACATTGAACTTTTAATATATATATATATATATATACATATATATATATATATTAAAAGTTCAATGTTCAATGTTCTATATCAGCTATTAGGTGGTATTCTTGACTGTTGATTTAAATATAAATTATGATTTTTGAGGATGCAGTCAGTTTATTTGGCCCTATTATATTATATATATATATATATATATATATATATTATATATATATATATATATATATATATATATATATATATATATATATCTAAACGATATAAAACTACTGAAAATCATTTGAAATTTAAAATAATAAGAGCTAAATGAAGATTTATTATTAAAAAGCAAGCAAGAGTCATATCAAAAGTTTGTTTTAGAAATCAATAGATCTACTCCAGTTGGCCAAATCTGGAACATAATTAGAAGTATATCTGGAAAAAAAATTCACAACACTCTATAAAGTACTTAATACAAGACAACCAGACATTTACGTCCGAATGCAATATATCCGAAATAATAGCAAATCAATATTATACCGCTTCTAGTAATGAAAACTATTCAATAGAATTCTTAAATAAGAACCGATTTGAAGAAAAAAAAAGAAATACCATTAATTAATGATACTTCACCAATAAACAATCCTATAAGCTTGTGTGAACTTATTGTAACACTTAACTCAGTTAAAAATATTAGTCCAGGACCAGATAACTATTCAATTTTATATGGATGAATAAGGTATTTCCACACAAATGGCACTCGTCATTCATAGTTCTAATGCATAAACCCAATTCATAAAAGGCAGATAGTCTAGCTAGGTTCACAGTAACCAAAACAGCCTCATCAGTGGAGAATCTAACGGTGAATTTAGATTTAAAACCTTACTTAAAATCAAAATTCCACGATGTTTGGTAAAACTAATGGAACAGAAGCACCACTAAATTGATAGAAATAAAATATTCTGTCCTTCATTTGATTGATTTTTATTTTTCATTTGATTTTTTTTTTATTTTTGCATGATACAGTACACTACTATCAAGCATTCGACTGGTATTAGCTAAACTAAAAAATTCCAGGACAGGCTTTGGAAAAATTAATTTTGGGAATCCTATTAAATATTACACCCTGTATATATATTTTTTAAAATGCAATTTACTGCAATAAGTGATTTTTAACTTCATAAATAGCCAATGAAAACGACATATGCAACAATATTGTCGCATTTTTATTAAATTTTTAGTGAACGATCAAATCTTACCAAAAATAGAACAACCATAATGAAGTATCAAATTATAAGGTAATTAATTTAAACAAATGTTATAAATTTCAAACATTTTAATTGAAATGATGAACTGAGTCACTGCACACTAAAAAACAGTAACTACTAACAATAACGAAGAACAATTTTAAAAAATCTAAAAATATGTACATAGTTATGATAAACCCATAAATTAGAACTGAAAAAGATACAATAATGGTAACAAAATAAAAATAATTCAAAATAGATTTTCGAAATGGAACCCTGCATCCTGTACACATTTTTGTTGACGAATTGTTAACTGACGTATTGAATTACGGATACTCTGGGGATCGTTTCTAATAGTATTACAACAATGTATAATTCTATCAATTAATTGTTGTCGGTTATTAATATTCACTGCGTAAACTAGTTGCTTCAATCGTTCCCAAATATGGTAATCAACGGGATTGAAATCAGGGGATCTTGAAGGCCACGAAATAGGACCTGCACGTCCTATCCACCTGTTGCCATAAACATTATTGAGATGTTGTGTCACTGCCAGTAACAAGTGTGGGGGTGCCCCATCATGCTGAAAATACATCCCTCGGATAGCAACGTTCGCGTTAGCAAGCAAATTCGGCAAAATATTTTGTAGAAAGTTCAAATAGACCTGCACTGTTAAAGGACCATCAAAAAAGTGAGGACCTACTAATTGGTTATTTATGACACCAATCCACACGTTAACCGAAAACCTTAACTGAGAACGACGTTCTCGAATAGCATGGAGATTTTCTTCTGCCCACACATGTGAATTTCGTAAATTATTTATCCCCTCTCTGGTAAATTGGGCTTCATCTGTAAATAGTGTCCTTTATAGCGTTGGTCGATTATTGTTAATCCATCTACAAAATTCCAACCTCTCTCATCTCATCTCCAGCATGTAGTCGCTGAACCATTTTAATGTGATATGGGTATAGATTTTTTTTTGTAAGACTCTACTTACTTTTGATTGAGTAACACTGAGTTCTCGACTTACTTGTCTAGTGCTTATTGTAGGGTTCATAGTAACGACGTCCATATGTCATCTTCCTGCGCTTCATCTACATGTCGCTCTGTTGTTACACTAGGAAAAGTGCCATTTTCTCGCAAATAATTAAAAACTGACCCAAATGTTGGATGACTGGGAGTTCGACGATTAGAAAATCTCCTGCCATATTCTCTACTAGCAGTCCTACCATTCCCATTACAGAATCCATAAACAAATATTATGTCTGCATATTCTGTGGTCGAAAACTAAAGTGGCATTCTGAACGAAAGTAACAAAAGCTCTACTAAAACTAACACAATGTACTTAACGTAGATATGACAGAAGAAATATGTATTCTTGTACACATAAATAACAATTGATAATTGATAAACTTTTTTAGATTTATTTTTATTTAGTACAGTTGATGCAATGTATTATTATTTGACATAAACTTTTAATCATTTACAATCAACAAAAACTAACACATACAAGAGGTTTGACTTTTTAATCAATTTAATGTATTATTTATCAAAAATAATGCCCCAATACGATCTATGAGTAAAAATTTAAAATTGAAAAACAATTGATTCTATCGTAGAGATAATACAAAGTGACAGTAAAGATGTTAATTTTCTACGTATTAGATTATGTTGTAGGAACTCATTTTAATTTAAATGTTTGAAACTTCATAACATTTGTTTAAATTAATACCTTATAATTTGATATTTCATTATGGTTGTTCTATTTTTGGTAAGATTTGATCGTTCACTAAAAATTTAATAAAAGTGCGACAATATTGTCGCATATGTCGTTTTCATTGGCTATTTATGTAGTTTAAAAATCACTTATTGCATTTAAAATATATATATATATATATATATATATATATATATATATATATTATATACAGGGTGTAATATTTAATACGAATCCCTAAATTAATTTTTCCAAATTTATTCCTGGAATTTTTTCAGTTTAGCTAAATAGTAAAGTTCCTCATGACTCACCCTGTGTGCCTATTTAAGTTCTTATCCCTTTTTGTATTTTCCTTATGCTAATAACCCTAAGTGGTTGAAGCAAAATAAATAATAAAAAAAGGATTTATTAAACACACTGCACAAATAAATCTCTCGCTAGTAGTTAATGCAATTCACTAAAATAAAAAATGGTTTTGGTATTCACTTACCCGCTGCACCCTCTGCGATAAGACTTAAAACTAGCTGAGCAGAAAGCGGACTGAATATAAAATTATCCCGCTCTTCATCTGTAGTTAACTCAGTGTAAATATCCGTTGCTAGATCTTGGTTTACAGTGGCTAAAAGTGCAATTTCGTCTTCTTCATAACCAAAAGCTAACGAGCAAAGAAAACAAGTAATAAGTGCCCTGAACATCCTATGGCTTAGGCAATTAGCTCAAAATGATGTATTATGTCGTATGATATAAATATTAATAACATAAAGTGCAATTAGTATAAAACTGCTATTTTAATAAATATCGAAACATTAACAATAAGGTGGAGGTTGATCTTAAATAATACATCAATCATTGATATGAAAACAATACGTACAGCTTTTATGACTTAATTTTCTCTGTAGTTAACCAATTACGGAAAAGGCATAAAACCTTTTAATATATGATGAAAATATCTTGTTAATTAAATAAATTTTCATACAATCATTTAAGCTTATTTTGCATCAATTTTAAAATTACTGGAATTAAACGGCATGTAATACCGTCCTCGTGTAAATGCTAATAAAAATAATATTTAAGTGAAGGATTCGACCGTTATTTGATGGAATTTTATTTTATAAGTATAACAATAAATCACTGAAAACGTTGTTTTCAACACTTTTGCAAAACGTATTATATTGTTTTATCACGACAGCTGTTTCGGCAGAGTGCCTTTCAAAAATGATCTATTTTTGGTATGCGTTTACTCTTTATACAGGGTATTTCAAAAAGATATGTCATAAATTAAATCACGCATTTCGAAAAAAAAAAGTAAATTGATTAAATGCAATCAATCAAAATCTAAGAGCACAGAAAAATTTTAAGAGAGGTGTGCAGTCCTAAATCCCCCTAAACTTTCGTACGTTCAAATCAAATGAATTTTGTGGTATCATTAGTTTAACATAATTTTTGAAAAAAATTTTGCCTCCTATCACTTCTTTTAAAAAACAGTTTTTATTGAGTTACGGTCCTTTTCATTAACCTATATAAACCATAATATTATCATCATCATATAACAGGGGTCCTACGGCGATTGCCGCTTCCCGCATTTCAACCTCCATCTTTTCCTATCTCTCCAATCACCCTCTTCTAAGCCTCTAGATTGCATTGTTTTTGTAATTTCTCTTCTCCAGGAATTTGGTGGCCTTCTCCTTTTTCTTCTTTCTGGCGGAACATACATTAAAGCTTTCTTTGGCCACCGCTCCTCCTCCATTCTCATCACGTGACCATACCATTGTAATTGCCTTCATTGTATTCTATCTGAAAGAGTATCTCTAATTCCTGTACGGTTTCGTATTTCCTCATTCCTGATTCTTTCCATTCTCGATACTCGACATGACCTTCTAAGATAATCCATTTCCACAACGTCTACTTTATCTCGTTCATGCTTTGTCATCGTCCAACATTCGGCACCATATGTGGTAACTGGTTCTACAATTGCTCTGTATACACGAAGTTTGGTATGCATCTTTATTTTATTAGACCACAGTAATGAATTCAGTATTTGGATGCATTTTTTCGCTTGGGATATTCGGTTTTGTACATCTATCTTAACTCTGCCATCTGCTGATATGATGCATCCTAGATATTTATATAAACCATAATATATTACAATAATTGTGCAAAATGATCCCCATTTTCTTCAATACACATTCTGTATTGTTTTAATAACCAAAACCGAATGCGCTAAAAAATCATATTTTTCTGACGAAATTGATTTGCAGCTTCAATTATTCTAACCCTCAATTGTTGTGCGTCCCCTATTATTACAGATTACACATTCACTTTCATAAACCCCCAAAATCAATAGTCCATGGGATCAAAACCTTCACTTCTGGGTAGTCAAGAAATAGGTGCATCAGTTGCATCCATTATTAGACGACCACTATTGTCGGCAATGTACCCGTTGCTCGTAAATGACGATCAATGGTCAGAAATAATCGTCTATTAGGTGTATTTCGATTGGGGTATTTTACCACATAACGTCCTGCGGCTGCTGTATTATTTTCTTGAGATTCACCTACAATATTCCCAATAGGTTATTGAAATCATAATTTAATCTGATCCAACTTACCCAAAGTGAAATGCATATCTGCCATTTCCTGAAATGTGTAGGCCATTTTAATATCAACATTTTTAATATTAACCTTATTCACAAAATAAATGATAGCTTCAAATTATTGACTACTGTTGATGGAACTATTTGTAATTATTGTATAAGTAGAAACTAACTGTAATTTTATGGCCAACTTCCTTTGGTCCGTCCAGGAAAAGACTTGTTTTTCGAAAAAGTGGTAAAAGGCAAAAAAGTTTTAAAAATAATATGTTAAACTATAGTCAATTTCCATCATATTGATAGCACATTACGTATGCAAATCCCTAAACTGTTGACACGGGTGACTCAATGAAAAATAGATATTGGTCAACAAGATAAAATAGATATTTTACAGAAGTATATACGAACACAATTTTAAATTAAGTATGACCACCAGGTATAAAGGTTGAAGCAGAATAGAATACCATAGTTTTGAGGGTTACTAATCCATTACCCATTGCAAGAAATGTAAGATGTTTATTTTATTGGTTATATATAAAATAATTTGTGGCCGTAACAGGGGTCAATTTGTAAAAAAATGAATATTATTTTAATCAAATTCCATTTCAGATTCACTGCTCTCGTCAGAATCTAAGGAATCTTCAACTCCAATGTTAATTATTACCGGTTCCAGCATTACATTGGTCATATTATCCTAATTCCACATTTTATTTTCTTCCTTGTGAGCATGACTAACAGCATTTTTCCAATTATCTAGAGTTACTTTTGATAAGGAATGTTCTAATAATTGTTGTAAGTCTTCTAATTTAAAAGTTTTGTTGTTGCGTCTGACTTCACCCTTTACTTGAGACCATACATTTTCTATCGGATTCATATCACATTGGTATGGGGGTAAACGTAAAATAATTACATCGCGGTTTAATGTCATTTCATCAATTATATATTTTTTATAAGCTGCTTTATGTTGTCTTACAATAGGTAATAATTCCTTTTTTGTCGAACCTTATACTCAATTGCGTGTTTATCCAACCATTCTGTATCCAACCTTAAGGCAAAATTTTAAGTATTTTCATGTAACTATTTGTTGTGACCCACGTAAGATTTTCAAAAAGCATATATTTTCTTTAAATGCTGCCACCGTGAAAAAAGATTTTTTGATTTATTTTATATTTTATGGTTAAGCAGTGTTTTTACATCACAAGTACAGTACCGCGTGCCGCTTCGCGGACGTTTAACGAACACAATAGTCCTCCACCACTATGAGAACTGCACTGATTACTGCGCATCACAGTTCACGCAGGCCACACCTCCCACTGCTTACCATCCGTCGCCAGCCGCCATCGTGCCAGTGTGCTACTGACACGTAGGATAGTCGGTTAATCTATCACGTTGCTAGTGAACAGTGAACTTGATTAATTCTTCGTCTTGATTCCTCATACAATAATGAGTGTAAAACCAGTAAAATGGAAAATTGATAGTGAGAACAGAATTTACGAAGAAAGTTGGGAGAGTGATTACTTGATTGCTAACAATAATGGAAAGTTGCAGTGCTTAGTGTGGATGAATGTCGTTTCAGTGCCTAAAGCATATAATATGAGAAGACATTACACAACAGTGCATGAAAATAAGTATGCTACGTACACAAATGATAGTCGGCGTGCCCTAGTTGCAGATTAAAAAAAAAGCTTAAACAGCAAACTGGTACGTTCAGTAAAATATTACACTCTCAAACGAAATCTTTGCATGCATGTTATGCCGTGTCGCTTGAGCTAGCAAAGGCAAAAAATCTTTTACTGATGGCAATTTGATAAAAAAATGCGCTGTTGAAATGGCCAAAGCTTTCGGTGATTCTAAAATGGCAGAGAAATTTGAATCAGTAACACTTTCACATCAAACCATACAAATAAAGATTGTTGCTATGGGCGAGCAAGTAGAAAAATCTGTGCTTAGCCTGGTTAAGAAAAGTTCATATTTCTCACTTTGGCTGCTCAGCTGGTCAGCTGTTAATATTTGTGCGCACTACTTTTTATGACTTTACCAGTAAAGAGAAGTTATTTGATATTTGTCCTCTTTATGGAACAACAAAAGGAAAATACATCTATGCGGCTATGAAGAAAACAGTTGACAAAATTGGAGGCTTTAATAAATGTTCAGCCAACAGATGGAGCTTTATCAATGACAGGTAAAAAATTGGATTAGTGGGTCTGCTTCTAGAGAATGGTGTCACTTGTTCAACAATTCATTGTATTATACAACAGGGAGCTTTATGTGGTAAATCAGTCAAGGAAGATCAAGTTTTCCAAACCGTGATTAAGATTATAAATATGATTAGAGGTGGAAATCAATCTCTTTTACACAGGCAACTTAAGCAGTGTTTAGTGGAAACAGAGGCTGAGTATGGAGACTTGCTAATGTACAACCATGTAAGGTGGCTAAGTGCAGGAAAGTGCATGGAACGAGAAAGGAAATCCCTGCATTCCTCAACAAATACGTTTCATCTGACACAACTGAACTGGAAAAGAAGTTTAAGGATCCAGAATTCTTAAGACAGTTAGCTTTTATAACAGATCTGACTAATCATCTTAACATGTTAAACTTGAGTCTTCAAGCAAGAAACCAGACGGTTTCAGATTTGATCGGAATGATAAACGGATTCCGGAATAAGCTGAGTATGTTTAAACGTGCTTTGGAAAAGTACAACCTGACACACTTCCCTAGCTGTCTGCAAATAGCAGAAGAATTCAACGGTGAGGAAAATATTGAGTTTGTATCCTGCATTTCACAAATTGATGAATTCGATACAAGATTTGAAGAAATTGAAAGTCTGAAAAGCAGTGTACTACTTTATAATAACCCTCTTGGAGCAACCATTGATGATCAACCACCCAACTTACAGCTTGAGTTATGTGATCTTCAAGCAGACATATTCCTAATCACCAGACAAGAAAAGGGACCTGAATTTTTTAAATTGCTGTCAAAGGAGAAATTTCCAAACCTGCGAGATTTTGGACTGAAAATGACGTAAATGTTCGAAAGCACATATAGGTACATGTGGAAGTGCCTTTTCCTCCATCAAATACAGAAAAAATAAAAACAGAAGCAACCTTACCGATTCTTTCTTACGCTATTTTGAGAGTGTCTACAACTGAACTTAAGGTGGACATTTCTTCATTGGTGGATAAAGCCGATCGACCACAGTCCTTACGCTAATTGGATACATTTCTTTCGTTGCTTTTGCAATGTTTGTTTTGATTATTGAAAAGTGTTATCAATCAATTTTCCGTTTATAAAAAATGTAGTTGTTGAGCAATAAAAGAAATAATACTAAATTATTTTTATACCTCACTTTATTTTGTTATTACTTGTAACAAAATTATTATATGGCCCGCGACAACATCAAAGGTTTTAGTTTTGGCCCTTGAGGCAATGCAAGTTGGGCACCCCTTTTCTAAATCACATTAAAATATAATTAAGCAGAAAATTATGTTTTATAGCTCAAATACATACCCATTTTTAAACAAAAAGTGAGATTTTATGAGATGGCTTTAACACAATTTGATCACCCACTGTGCTGTTGAAAGTAAACTAATTATTTAAAATACTACAACTTAAAATCAAAATGCATGACTACAAACGAGCTCCCAAGGTATGAGAGTGACATCCAATGGTCGATAATGGAATTAGAAGAAAAGAAAATAAAGCTCCGCCACTGACCATAACAATCTGTATGTCTATGTCCTTGTAATTTCATGATGGGGATGTCAAAAATGTCAAATTTAAAATAAATAATATTATCTATTATTCTAATTTTTGTGCATGTCAAAATTAATTTTTCTAAATTTAAGTTTTCATACCAAACAATAATTTTAAACGAATGGCAGCTTACGCTCAATCAGTCACTTCAAAATTACAGTCTTTTGATATCTGTAATATTCCATTTTTAAAGGAAAGTAAGTTTAAACTCTACTCTAATTCTTGTGACAATAAAAAAAGTCTTGTTCCTGGCGAACCTGATGGCCCATGTATCAAAACCGAACTTCCCGGTCCTAAATCTATAGAAGGTATTAAACATTTAAGTAATTTACAGATGGTTCAATCGGTACAATATTTAGCAGACTATCAAAAATCTATAGGAAATTATTTAGTTGATGCTGATGGTAATGTTCTGTTGGATACGTATATGAATATTGCAACTATAGCGCTGGGTTATAATCATCCAGCTGTTTTGGATGTTTTTAAAGATCCATGCAATTTAAAATATATGGTAAATAGGTCAGCTCTTGGAGTTTTTCCTGGCACCGACTGGCCATGTCGAATGGAAAATATTCTAAAATCAATATCACCTAAATTGCCCAAAATACAAATGATGATGTGTGGGTCTTGTTCCAATGAAAACGCCGTTAAGCAAGCTTTTATAGCTTACAGAATGAGAGAAAGAGGAAACTATGACTTTAGTGAAGAAGAGAAACAATCTTCGATTTTAAACCAACCACCAGGATGCCCTATTTTGTCTATTTTATCTTTTAGGGGTGCATTTCATGGAAGATCCCTCGGAATGTTATCTACAACACATTCAAAACCAATACAAAAATTGGATTTTCCAAGCTTTGCTTACTGGCCAACGGCTTCTTTTCCAGTTTATAAATATCCCTTGGAAGAAAATTCCAGAGAAAATAAGGAAATTGACTGTCGCTGTCTTGAAGAGGTCGAAGATATATTTCACATACAAAAAAAGTGTGCTCCAATTGCAGGTGTTATAGTTGAACCTATTCAATCAGAAGGTGGTGATAATCATGCATCAGCTGAGTTTTTTAAACATCTTCAACAATTATGTAAAAACAATTTTGCTTATTTAATAGTGGATGAAGTTCAAACGGGTTGTTGTAGCACTGGAAAGTTTTGGTGCCATGAATATTTTGACTTACCATGTCCTCCAGACTTTGTCACTTTTAGTAAAAAAATGCAAGCAGCAGGTTACTTTTATAGCGATGCTGTAAAAGTTAAACATGGTGGTAGAATATTTAATACCTGGATGGGTGATCCTGGCAAAGCTATGATCTTGGAAGCCATCATCAATACCATCAAATGCCAAAATTTGTTAGATCAAGTAAATAGGTCTGGCCAAAAATTATTGTGTGGCCTTAAAGACTTGGAAAAGGAGTTTACGCCTCTGATTGATTCCGTGAGGGGAAGAGGTACTTTTATTGCCTATAATGTTAAAGATGAAAAGACAAGGGACACCGTGATAATTAAATTAAAGAAAGGTGGTGTTCAGGCTGGTGGTTGTGGCACTAGATCAATTCGTTTAAGGCCAGCTCTGGTGTTTCAGGAGCATCACGTTGATATTTATTTAGATATATTGAGGAAGGTATTAAAAGAAATCAACGGTGGTGCGAAACGTTGTTAAATTTACTGGTTTGTTAAAAATATATATTTGGAATATTAAATATCTGGTTGTGTGTTTTGAAATTTGTTAATAACTTATATATAATATATCACAGATAAAATAATAAAATAAATTTAGTGAAAAAGACAGCAAATAATTGATTTCACGCAAACAGCGCCTTTGTATCTGTTGATACGCATTTCGACCTAACAGGTCTCATCAGAACAGTTATCCAAAGGTGTTCTCAACGTGAAAGATCAATATTTTTTGTCTTTTAAGAAGCAACACTAAAATGGCTTCGATACACACGCAATAGCGACATCTGATAATAAAACCGTAAAATTAGTTTCGAAACACAATTCAGATTTCTGCTTTAATCTGTGCTTTTTAAAAATTACAAAGCAAAACAGACGTTGATAAAGGTGTTAAAAGAGACGTGGGAAATCTAAAATCTTTTTATTATCTAGACTCTCTTTTTATTATTAAGTCTGAAACTTTAATAAATAAAATAAAATAAAAATAAACTTAGGGCATTTTCAATATCTCCAAAATCACTTTCATTGTATAAAAAACTATGACCAGAAAAGAGATAGCGTAATGAAATAAATTTTTTCAATGGTAGGATGAATGTCCAAAATCGTTTACAGAATCAAAACTATTTTGATGTTGCGGTTTTGACCGCCACAACAGTCTGACCACAAAATTACATGTTTTGCAAAAATAACATTTTCTTTAATTTGTTTCTTAAGACAACTGCCTAGTTCGTGGGCTCCCCGATCAGCTTCACCTTCTATCCAAACATAACAATAACCTTTGTTATCCTTGCCGCTATGCATACCAACGTTCATCATCATCATCATCATCATCATTCAGCCTCAAGAGTCCACTGCTGAACATAGGCCCCTTCCTCATGTTTCCAACCCCGTATATCTTGCGCCGCTCTTATCCAGTTTTTATTGAGTCTTCTTAAATCGTCATTCCATCTTGTAGGTGGTCGTCGACGCTTCTCTTGTCTTCCCTTGGCCTCCATTCCAATAACCTCTTTGTCCATCGCCCATTTGTCATTCCGGTTATGTGTCCTGCCCATCTCCATTTTAGTCTGGCTATCTTCTCCATGATGTCAGTCACTCCGGTTCTTCTCCTGATGTCTTCGTTTGTTATTCTGTCTCGGAGAGTTATTCCTAACATGGACCGCTCCATTCTTCTCTGCGTGACTCCCAGTTTAGTAGCTGCTGCTTTTGTTAAGGTAAGTGTTTCTGCTCCGTACGTCAAGACTGGAAGGACGCACTGATCAAATACCTTTCTCTTTAGGCATGTGGGCAGCTCACTTTTAAAAGTTTCTCTCAGTTTTCCAAATGCTGCCCACCCAAGGCCGACTCTTCTCTTCAGTTCATGAGTCTGGTTATCTCTGCCAATCATAATTTTATGTCCCAGGTATTTATATCTATCTACGAGTTCTATTTCTTTCCCACCAATACTGATGTTCTGGTTGGGCACCAAATTGGTTATGATTTTTGTTTTCGAGATATTTATATTTAAACCTACATTTTCTGTAGCCACAACGAGTTCCTGTACCATCTCTCTTGCCATACCTAGATCTTCAGCTATTATAAGTATATCATCGGCGAAACGTAAGTTGTTTAGATATTCTCCATCTATTTTTATTCCCTTTGTCATCCAATCCAAATTTTTAAAAGCATGTTCTAGTACCGTATTAAAAAGTTTAGGTGACATTGGGTCTCCTTGTCTAACCCCCCGTTCCATTTTTATGCGATTACTGTTAGTATGTAATTTGACAGTGGTTGTTGCCTGCAGGTATATTTTGTATAATAATTTAGTATATATATAATCTAGCCTGCATTCTTTAAGCGCCTGTAATATTTTGCTTAGCTCAACTGTGTCAAAGGCTTTGTGAAAATCAATAAATATTAGATCTAGAGGTTTATTGTATTCCACTGCTTTCTCTATTAGGGTTTTTATACTTTGTAGATGGTCATTTGTTCCGTAACTTTTTCGGAATCCTGCCTGTTCCCTTGGTTGATAAGTCTCTAATTTTTAGAGAGTATGGAGTAGAGAATGGAAAGAAAATTAGAGACTTATACCAAGGTTGTAAATACATAATTGACGTTTATAACATACGATATTTGTTGGAATTCTCGGAAGGGGAATAGTTTTTTCTAAATCAAAACAAGAGGTTTTCACTTCTGGTTAATCTGTGCTCATCTTCATGTCTAGCTTGCATCTAGATTATGCTTTTTTAGCTTCGTCTAAGTGCCTCATTTGTTACTTTCTTTAACTTGCTTAATTTTTCGTTTTCTGCACAATTTTTAATTTCTAATTAAAACAAAAGCACGTCTCCTACAAGTATCTTTTTTTAACTTTTTTCTTTAAAGATTAAATCGTAATAGTAAATTGTAAAATAAAAATTTAATAGGATCATTGTCTGCTTCTTCAATATACATATCATATATTTAACTTAATGTTGTGTCTTCTGCTAGGTATTCTCTTTGTGTGTTAGCTCTTCTGTAATGTGACTTGTACTTAGGGAATTTCTTTATGTACATAATTACTTTTTGTACACGATTATCGTTAATTTTGTTATGACCTCACTTTGATTACGACAACCTCGAACACCCATTGGACTTTAGTTTTATAGCTTTTAATGCTGCATTGACTTTTCAACTTAATATTCTCAGGGTCTGTAAAAAAAGGTTTATACAATGTCACAGCGGATCTTGTGTATATTCTTGTAGTATTTCTTTTGTTACTGGTTTTTGTTCTTTCTCGCTTTATTGGGACTTCGGAAATATTTGAACACATTATAGCTCCCTGAGCATCATGAGATTCAACGTTGTCCAATCTTGTCCAAACACTTACACTTACACAGATACATACAAGACTGTTTTGATTCTTTACATACACATCTCTGCGTGTATGTAAAGTAACTCTTGTTTTGAATACAACTTAAAAAGGGGTGTATTTTACTTAGTTTTATTTTTTACAAAATCGGAAAGTTAACTAAATATAATACAGAATAGGAATAACGTCTTTTGGTTTCACATCTGGAAGTACTCAACTATTTGGACCTCCGGTACACTAGGTCACTGAGACACGTCGCTTATATGCGTGGCGTCAGGAGTTTGGTTTGTTACAGGTTATTTTATAGAAAAAGAAAAATTTAAGCAGCAACTTCCACTACTTCTTAAACTAAACGCCTCAACAAGTTATTGTTAACCACTTTCATGTACGTATGTTGCCAAATATTCGATTTTCATTCAATAAAATGCTCAAAAGAGGCGCTTGGTCTATTGATGCAAAACTAATACACAAAATTAGCTTGATCTAGTTATGCAAAATTAAAAATCCAAAATAAGGAGAAAGGCACTTGGTCTTTTTAAATATATCTGTTTAACCGGTTCTGACTAATGGAATTTATTCCGTAGATAGTTTATGCTATTTCCCACCAGACAGTGTTACAATCCACAATTTAAGAAAATGGCGCTTGTTCTAGTGATGCATAACATCGTCCAACTGCAGAATTTCTACGATCAATAGATGCTATTTTATTCTCAATCTTCTTCTTAAATCCACAAATATATCAAGAAATACAAAAATAGAGAAGACAATACAACTTCGAACTGTAAAGAAAATACCAGGAATCTACATGGTAAAACATTTTAAGATACGACGTCTGAGGTGGATAGGGTATGTAATGCGGATGAAACAAAATGACCCAACTAGAAAAATGCTCCTTGATATACCCAGCATTCAGAAAAGAAGAGAAAGACCCAGAATAAGGTTCCATGATAACATTGATGAAGACATAAGAAATATGGGAATACGTGCTTAAGGAGAAAGACGATAAATAGAGACGACTGGAGAGAAAACCTCGAGGAAGTTAGGACTCACGCAAAGTTATAAAGCCAGAATTATGATGATTGCTTTGTTTTACTTGCGATATTTAAATCTCGGATTGTTTTATTTTGTTGTGTTGTCTTTTGCTGTTGTCTAGATAAACAGCACTTACACACGATAAGTGTAGGTACTTATCGCAGTCTACTTACAGTACTCGGCGTATCATTACCGAATAATTGAGCTAGACTCCGCTCCAATGGCCTCACGTCTAACACCTATAAATAAAACACCCTAGTTAGACAACATAAAAAAGGTAAATAATAACTAAACTTACCGATACCTCTACATATTCGCGATATGGAAAGAAATATACTAAAATATGATTTAATAATTTAATAATAATATTGAAATTTTACTCACAAATAAAAAAACAGTAACATCAACCTTTTCCTGTTTGAAATCTAATTCTGGAATAGTTAACTGAATAAAATTACTCTCTACAATAGACTAATGAACATCTGTAAACGAACAAGCTATTTTGCACATCCTTGAAAACTGGGGTACAAATTCTCTGCTTGAATCCGCACGTTCTGAATGCACACAACAAATTCCATTACCCAATTCTGTGGATGCTCTTCAAAAGTAGTTTAAGCAAATATTTCCAGTTCTCCATCGCTGATGAAAGACCTTCACAGTATGAACCAGGAATATGCATACAAAATTCTGTTATTCAAGCTAGTTGACGAACTGAATTGAAACTATTTTGAAACTTTCGCAAAGCTTGGTTTGACTGTGACAGTATAAAATTTGTTAAGAAAAACTTGATTTTTATTCAGTGTTAGAAACTTCGGCAAATATTTTCTTATTTTTAATGATATGCATTTTAAGGTATTTCGTAAGAAGTTTAAACTAGAAATAAATTTAAAAGTTAAATTTAACATAATCTAATCTGATATCTATATCTCCGTTATCTGCGGCTTTAATTACATACTATTCTTTTCTGTTGACCAACGTTGTCATGTTTTATTAGATACTTTAACAAATCCCTTATTTTAAAACTATTTTGTAACGAATATATTTTGCCTACCATATGGACTATTACTATTAGGGGTAGAAAATTGGGGACGGAAACTATGGGGGTGGAGATGGGCAAGCAAAATAACCGCTACTTGTGCGAATGGCACTCGGGTTTGTTTTGAGAGCTGGGGTCGTAAATAA